GTTGTTGTTATAAAATGTGATTTTGGCCAGACTACGTGATGCGCGCGCGTTTTTTTTTTGATATACTTACGATTTACAAAAAAAATCTTAATATACGTTATCCCTGAACCCCTGTAGAGTTATGTTTTGAGTTGAAGTTATTGTTGATGGTTGTTGTAATAAAATGTGATTCTGGCCAGGCTACGTGATCCGCCAGCGGTTTTTTGATATATACTCGCGATTTATAAAAAATCTTTATGTAAGTTATCCCTGTATTTAGTAATGTGTTGAGTTGAAGTTATTGTTGAACTTCATATGGATTACGGTCAGATAAGAATTGCGGTCAGTATGCCTTACACTTGAACCAGAGTTTAATTGACAATTGTCATAGTCTTCGTGTTTGGTTTATAAACTTCAGCTGAATGGTCCCATCTTCTTTAAATATGTATAAAAAGGTTACGTGATGCGCCCGCAGTTTTTTATATACTTTTACTCGCGTATTAAATTGTAACTGACTTGTGTTTTTAGAATTTGTGTACTATGATTATGTTTGATATGTTTAATTATGTATTTGTTTGCTCTAATACCTATATTTTTGTATTGCAGATCTATTTGCCAGGTTCTTTAAATGTTTTTTTTTTGCCTATATTTTAATGTTTTGTGTTTTTTGTCTTTTTGAAAACCACCTGGAAAGAAGATGTTGGTGTTCTAGTTCTACATTGTGGCGAAGACGTGAGGATGTGGATGGATGTGTATCATTGGTTGGAAACTGGCATGATGGAGAAATTATATAGGTATTTTCAAAATTATACTTTAAGGATTTTTTGTAACCGTTTATTTGTGCCTGCAAAGTATCAATTATTTACAAGATAAAAAAAGTTCAGCTAGTTCAACAAACAGTTGATAGGAATTGTCTATTGGAGATAGTCTTTTAGCTAGCTAGACTGGAAGGTAAGTGGTTCTACTAGGCATGAACTTGCCCCACCCTGAAACTCTTTTGACGGCCTTTATCTGCCATATAATAAAGTATGGGTCATCATATTATATAAAACCAATGAAATATTGATAATTACCTGCTTATTTGAAAAGTAATTTGTAAAGACATGATAAATATTAACATTATAAGATTAGAATGTTATTTTGTAAACACATGGGTGACTAGGAAAATAATAGGTATTGGTACATTTTCTTTGATTCTTTTTATTCTGTTTTACTTGTGTCTCTTCCTTTAAGCCTTGTGAATTAGAATGTTATTTTGTAAACCCTGGTGATTTTTCAGACCATGGAGGAGTGAAGAAGTGGAAGTGGACAAGACTATCAGTTCTTCGAGAGTTCCAGTGCCTATATACTCGCAAGAAGGATATGGTATGGAATAGCTTTAAGTACATCTATGTGCTGGCAGATTTGTACAACAAGAAGTTGTTCCAGTGTGAGGAGAGATGCTTGTCATAAGGTAAACCTTGCAGTTTGATGCTGTAGTAAATCATAATGAGGATAATGAATCATAATAAAAGCAAAATACAAGTTTGGTTGAAATCCTGTGCAATTTGAGCCAAATGAATACAGAGGTGAGTATCCTGTCGGACATTTTGGAGACTTGGGTTCCATTCCTTGTCTATGTTTACTTACAAAATACAATTTTGTTATATTACTTATGAATAAAGTATACATTTGATAGGCATTGTCAGTTGTAGTTGTCTAACAGGCTTACATTTGGTATGTAGGTGGTTCTGTAACTTTTTGTGTTGCCTCTACAGAGTAGTGGTGACATATAGGGATCACTTCTCGGTCGTTTGTCTGTCCGTGCAAAACACATGGGTGACTAGGAAAATAATAGGTATTGGTACATTTTCTTTGATTCTTTTTATTCTGTTTTACTTGTGTGTCTTCTTTTAAGCCTTGTGAATTAGAATGTTATTTTGTTAACCCTGGTGATTTTTCAGACCATGGAGGAGTGATGAAGTGGAAGCGGACAAGACTATCAGTTCTTCGAGAGTTCCAGTGCCTATATACTCGCAAGAAGGATATGGTATGGAATAGCTTAAAGTACATCTATGTGCTGGCAGATTTGTACAACAAGAAGTTGTTCCAGTGTGAGGAGAGATGCTTGTCATAAGGTAAACCTTGCAGTTTGATGCTATAGTAAATCATAATAAAGATAATGAATCATAATAAAATCAAAATACAAGTTTGGTTGAAATCCTGTGCAATTTGAGCCAAATGAATACAGAGGTGAGTATCCTGCCGGACATTTGGAGACTATTCCATTCCATATACTATTTTCAATTGGGAATATGACCCAATGACGGCTGTAAAAGCAACACAAATCCCTGTAAATCATTACTATAGCATCCTTATTTCAAGAGTAATAAACAAAATAATCGGTAAAAAACATTAACCATCTTAAAATAATGCTGACGATCATCCTTGATCAATGCTATGTTTTGACAGCTGTGCAATACCGGATAAACAATGTACCACCAAGTCTACTAATAATCAAATGGCCCCTCGCTAATTTGAATAAATTCCATTGCACAGCATGATATACCGTTCTCCTAGATTTTATTGGTTAATTTACATTTACACAAAAATAATAACAATAATCCATCCAAAAACTTTCTTTAACCCATTCAGTTTCACACTGTATATATAGGCGATCAATATAAACACCTTTTCTGACCGTTGTAGGTAGCTTCATAAAAATTGTTTCAAGTCTTACATGATTTCCCTGAACATGCCTTTCAACGCCGTCAAATTAAAACACAAATTTCCATTTAATTATTCATATAAATGACACAGGAAGACTGATATTGTAAAAATAAAATATTGGCCAGGTATTTTTCGTTTTCATAAAATGGGGTTTCTATAAAAAGATTTTTGGAAAAAACTGTATAGTACGCCGCCGACCTCTAAAACTAACTTTCACATGGAATTCAATATGTTTTCAGAATATGGATGGTTGTGTTACAGTGGTGAAGTGTTTGTTGATCGAGACTATCAATTATTCATCTGTGCTGGTAGATTTGTACATTCAGTGTGGAGAGAGATGGACACGGTATATTGTACGGTAAACCTTGCTCTTTGATTTCATTGGTAAATCTATTTTAGCTAGTCTACAACTAGGTAAAGCTAGTCTATAACTAGGTAAAGCTGGAACGTCGCCATATGACCTATACTGTGTCGGATTCTGGCCAGACTACGTGATGCGCCCGCAGTTTTTTGATATACTCGCGATTTATAAAAAAAATATGTAAGTTATCCCTGTACCCCCTGTAGTTAGTAATGTGTTGAGTTGAAGTGATTGTTGATGGTTGTTGTTATAAAATGTGATTCTGGGCAGACTACGTGATGTGCCCACGGTTTTTTGATATACTCGCGATTTATAAAAAATCTTTATATAAGTTATCCCTGTACCCCCTGTAGTTAGTTATGTGTTGAGTTGAAGTTATTGTTGATGGTTGTTATAAAATGTGATTTTGGCCAGATTACGTGATGCGCCCGCGTTTTTTTGATATACTTACGATTTATAAAAAATCTTTTTATACGTTATCCCTGAACCCCTGTAGTTATGTGTTGAGTTTAAGTGATTGTTGATGGTTGTTGTTATAAAATGTGATTCTGGCCAGACTACGTGATGCGCCCGCGATTTTTTTTATATACTCGCGTTTATTTAAAAAAATATGTAAGTTATCCCTGTACCCCCTGTAGTTAGTAATGTTTTGAGTTGAAGTGATTGTTGATGGTTGTTGTTATAAAATGTGATTTTGGCCAGACTACGTGATGCGCGCGCGTTTTTTTGATATACTTACGATTTACAAAAAATTTTTTAATATACGTTATCCCTGAACCCCTGTAGAGTTATGTTTTGAGTTGAAGTTATTGTTGATGGTTGTTGTAATAAAATGTGATTCTGGCCAGGCTACGTGATCCGCCCGCGGTTTTTTGATATATACTCGCGATTTATAAAAAATCTTTATGTAAGTTATCCCTGTATTTAGTAATGTGTTGAGTTGAAGTTATTGTTGAACTTCATATGGATTACGGTCAGATAAGAATTGCGGTCAGTATGCCTTACACTTGAACCAGAGTTTAATTGACAATTGTCATAGTCTTCGTGTTTGGTTTATAAACTTCAGCTGAATGGTCCCATCTTCTTTAAATATGTATAAAAAGGTTACGTGATGCGCCCGCAGTTTTTTATATACTTTTACTCGCGTATTAAATTGTAACTGACTTGTGTTTTTAGAATTTGTGTACTATGATTATGTTTGATATGTTTAATTATGTATTTGTTTGCTCTAATACCTATATTTTTGTATTGCAGATCTATTTGCCAGGTTCTTTAAATGTTTTTTTTTGCCTATATTTTAATGTTTTGTGTTTTTTGTCTTTTTGAAAACCACCTGGAAAGAAGATGTTGGTGTTCTAGTTCTACATTGTGGCGAAGACGTGAGGATGTGGATGGATGTGTATCATTGGTTGGAAACTGGCATGATGGAGAAATTATATAGGTATTTTCAAAATTATACTTTAAGGATTTTTTGTAACCGTTTATTTGTGCCTGCAAAGTATCAATTATTTACAAGATAAAAAAAGTTCAGCTAGTTCAACAAACAGTTGATAGGAATTGTCTATTGGAGATAGTCTTTTAGCTAGCTAGACTGGAAGGTAAGTGGTTCTACTAGGCATGAACTTGCCCCACCCTGAAACTCTTTTGACGGCCTTTATCTGCCATATAATAAAGTATGGGTCATCATATTATATAAAACCAATGAAATATTGATAATTACCTGCTTATTTGAAACGTAATTTGTAAAGACATGATAAATATTAACATTATAAGATTAGAATGTTATTTTGTAAACACATGGGTGACTAGGAAAATAATAGGTATTGGTACATTTTCTTTGATTCTTTTTATTCTGTTTGACTTGTGTGTCTTCTTTTAAGCCTTGTGAATTAGAATGTTATTTTGTAAACCCTGGTGATTTTTCAGACCATGGAGGAGTGAAGTAGTGGAAGTGGACAAGACTATCAGTTCTTCGAGAGTTCCAGTGCCTATATACTCGCAAGAAGGATATGGTATGGAATAGCTTAAAGTACATCTATGTGCTGGCAGATTTGTACAACAAGAAGTTGTTCCAGTGTGAGGAGAGATGCTTGTCATAAGGTAAACCTTGCAGTTTGATGCTGTAGTAAATCATAATGAGGATAATGAATCATAATAAAAGCAAAATACAAGTTTGGTTGAAATCCTGTGCAATTTGAGCCAAATGAATACAGAGGTGAGTATCCTGTCGGACATTTTGGAGACTTGGGTTCCATTCCTTGTCTATGTTTACTTACAAAATACAATTTTGTTATATTACTTATGAATAAAGTATACATTTGATAGGCATTGTCAGTTGTAGTTGTCTAACAGGCTAACTTTTGGTATGTTGGTGGTTCTGTAACTTTTTGTGTTGCCTCTACAGAGTAGTGGTGACATATAGGGATCACTTCTCCGTCGTCTGTCTGTCCGTGACCCAATAACGGCTGTAAAATAAGCAAAACAAATCCCTGTAAATCATTACTATAGCATCCTTAATTTCAAGAGTAATAAACAAAATAATCGGTAAAAAACATTAACCATCTTAAAATAATGCTGACGATCATCCTTGATCAATGCTATGTTTTGACAGCTGTGCAATACCGGATAAACAATGTACCACCAAGTCTACTAATAATCAAATGGCCCCTCGCTAATTTGAATAAATTCCATTGCACAGCGTGATATACCGTTCTCCTAGATTTTATTGGTTAATTTACATTTACACAAAAATAATGACAATAATCCATCCAAAAACTTTCTTTAACCCATTCAGTTTCACACTGTATATATAGGCGATCAATATAAACACCTTTTCTGACCGTTGTAGGTAGCTTCATAAAAATTGTTTCAAGCCTTACATGATTTCCCTGAACATGCCTTTCAACGCCGTCAAATTAAAACACAAATTTCCATTTAATTATTCATATAAATGACACAGGAAGACTGATATTGTAAAAATAAAATATTGGCGAGGTATTTTCCATTTTCAGAAAATGGGGTTACTATAAAAAGATTTTTGGAAAAAAACTGTATAGTACGCCGCCGACCTCTAAAACTAACTTTCACATGGAATTAAATATGTTTTCAGAATATGGATGGTTGTGTAACAGTGGTGAAGTGTTTGTTGATCGAGACTATCAATTATTCATCTGTGCTGGTAGATTTGTACATTTGGAAGTTGTTTCAGTGTGGAGAGAGATGGACACGGTGTATTGTACGGTAAACCTTGCTCTTTGATTTCATTGGTAAATCTATTTTAGCTAGTCTACAACTAGGTAAAGCTAGTCTATAACTAGGTAAAGCTGGAACGTCGCCATATGACCTATACTGTGTCGGAACGTCGTCATATGACCTATACTGTGTTACAACGTCGCCATATGACCTATACTGTGTCGGTGTGACGTAAAGCCCATTCAAACAAACAAACAAAACCTGCCCTTGTCTGTCCGTTTTGGGAAATATTTTTTCTGCCAATAAAGGTGGGGAGATGCCATATGACTTAAGAACCAACAAAACAAATGTGATTTGTTTAGTTAAAAAGACTTTGTTCAACAAATATGATTGGAATGTTGTTTTGTTAACCCCAGTGAAATTTCAGTTAATCTTAAGACCAAGGAGGCAGATTTGCAAGAATGGCATGAAACATGGTGATGATGGATGGACGTGTGGATCGTTAAAGCCCAACAGTGACAGAGTATTGGAGTACTTGACGTGCATTGTGAAAGTTGATCGATACTATCAATTCTTCGAGAGTCCCAGTGCCTATATACTCGCAAGAAGGATATGGTATGAAATACAGCTTGGTACACATCTGTGCTGGTAGATTTGTACATTTGGAAGTTGTTTCAGTGTGGAGAGAGATGGACACGGTGTATTGTACGGTAAACCTTGCTCTTTGATTTCATTGGTAAATCTATTTTAGCTAGTCTACAAATAGGTAAAGCTAGTCTATAATTAGGTAAAGCTGGAACGTCGCCATATGACCTATACTGTGTCGGAACGTCGCCATATGACCTATACTGTGTATATGACCTATACTGTGTCGATGTGACGTAAAGTCCATTCAAACAAACAAACAAACAAACAAACCCTTGTCTGTCCGTTTAGGGAAATATTTTTTCTGCCAATAAAGGTGGGGAGATGTCATATGACTTAAGAACCAACAAAACAAATGTGATTTGTTTAGTTAAAAAGACTTTGTTCAACATATAATATATGATTTGAATGTTTTTTGTTAACCCCAGTGAAATTTCAGTTAATCTTAAGACCAAGGAGGCAGATTTGCAAGAATGGCATGAAACATGGTGATGATGGATGGACGTGTGGATCGTTAAAGCCCAACAGTGACAGAGTATTGGAGTACTTGACGTGCATTGTGAAAGTTGATCGATACTATCAATTCTTCGAGAGTCCCAGTGCCTATATACTCGCAAGAAGGATATGGTATGAAATACAGCTTGGTACACATCTGTGCTGGTAGATTTGTACATTTGGAAGTTGTTTCAGTGTGGAGAGAGATGGACACGGTGTATTGTACGGTAAACCTTGCTCTTTGATTTCATTGGTAAATCTATTTTAGCTAGTCTACAACTAGGTAAAGCTAGTCTATAACTAGGTAAAGCTGGAACGTCGCCATATGACCTATACTGTGTCGGAACGTCGCCATATGACCTATACTGTGTATATGACCTATACTGTGTCGGTGTGACGTAAAGTCCATTCAAACAAACAAACAAAACCTGCCCTTGTCTGTCCGTTTTGGGAAATATTTTTTCTGCCAATAAAGGTGGGGAGATGTCATATGACTTAAGAACCAACAAAACAAATGTGATTTGTTTAGTTAAAAAGACTTTGTTCAACATATAATATATGATTTGAATGTTTTTTGTTAACCCCAGTGAAATTTCAGTTAATCTTAAGACCAAGGAGGCAGATTTGCAAGAATGGCATGAAACATGGTGATGATGGATGGACGTGTGGATCGTTAAAGCCCAACAGTGACAGAGTATTGGAGTACTTGACGTGCATTGTGAAAGTTGATCGATACTATCAATTCTTCGAGAGTCCCAGTGCCTATATACTCGCAAGAAGGATATGGTATGAAATACAGCTTGGTACACATCTGTGCTGGTAGATTTGTACATTTGGAAGTTGTTTCAGTGTGGAGAGAGATGGACACGGTGTATTGTACGGTAAACCTTGCTCTTTGATTTCATTGGTAAATCTATTTTAGCTAGTCTACAACTAGGTAAAGCTAGTCTATAACTAGGTAAAGCTGGAACGTCGCCATATGACCTATACTGTGTCGGAACGTCGCCATATGACCTATACTGTGTATATGACCTATACTGTGTCGGTGTGACGTAAAGTCCATTCAAACAAACAAACAAAACCTGCCCTTGTCTGTCCGTTTTGGGAAATATTTTTTCTGCCAATAAAGGTGGGGAGATGTCATATGACTTAAGAACCAACAAAACAAATGTGATTTGTTAAGATAAAAAGACTTTGTTCAACATATAATATATGATTTGAATGTTTTTTGTTAACCCCAGTGAAATTTCAGTTAATCTTAAGACCAAGGAGGCAGATTTGCAAGAATGGCATGAAACATGGTGATGATGGATGGACGTGTGGATCGTTAAAGCCCAACAGTGACAGAGTATTGGAGTACTTGACGTGCATTGTGAAAGTTGATCGATACTATCAATTCTTCGAGAGTCCCAGTGCCTATATACTTGCAAGAAGGATATGGTATGAAATACAGCTTGGTACACATCTGTGCTGGTAGATTTGTACATTTGGAAGTTGTTTCAGTGTGGAGAGAGATGGACACGGTGTATTGTACGGTAAACCTTGCTCTTTGATTTCATTGGTAAATCTATTTTAGCTAGTCTACAACTAGGTAAAGCTAGTCTATAACTAGGTAAAGCTGGAACGTCGCCATATGACCTATACTGTGTCGGAACGTCGCCATATGACCTATACTGTGTATATGACCTATACTGTGTCGGTGTGACGTAAAGTCCATTCAAACAAACAAACAAAACCTGCCCTTGTCTGTCCGTTTTGGGAAATATTTTTTCTGCCAATAAAGGTGGGGGAGATGTCATATGACTTAAGAACCAACAAAACAAATGTGATTTGTTTAGTTAAAAAGACTTTGTTCAACATATAATATATGATTGGAATGTTGTTTTGTTAACCCCAGTGAACTTTCAGTTAATCTTAAGACCAAGGAGGCAGATTTGCAAGAATGGCATGAAACATGGTGATGATGGATGGACGTGTGGATCGTTAAAGCCCAACAGTGACAGAGTATTGGAGTACTTGACGTGCATTGTGAAAGTTGATCGAGACTATCAATTCTTCGAGAGTCCCAGTGCCTATATACTCGCAAGAAGGATATGGTATGGAATACAGCTTGGTACACATCTGTGCTGGTAGATTTGTACATTTGGAAGTTGTTTCAGTGTGGAGAGAGATGGACACGGTGTATTGTACGGTAAACCTTGCTCTTTGATTTCATTGGTAAATCTATAAATATCTATTTTAGCTAGTCTACAACTAGGTAAAGCTAGTCTATAACTAGGTAAAGCTGGAACGTCGCCATATGACCTATACTGTGTCGGAACGTCGCCATATGACCTATACTGTGTCGGTGTGACGTAAAGCCCAATCAAACAAACAAACAATACCTGCCCTTGTCTGTCCATTTTGGGGAATATTTTTTCTGCCAATAAAGGTGGAGAGATGTCATATGACTTAAGAAGCACTTTAACAAATGTGATTTGTTGACAAATGAGATTGGAATGTTGTTTTGTTAACCCCAGTGATCTTTCAGTTAATCTTAAGACCAATGAATGGCATGAAACATGGTGTTGATGGATGGATGTGTGATGAGATTGGAATGTTGTTTCGTTAAGGCAAGGCAAGTACAGAACAGAAAGGTAAAATTATTAAAAAGATGTTATATTGTATTTATAATAGGGGAATGATATTATGAACAACATAATATGTTAGATGAAATTGAAATTGTGTATATGAAAGTTGAGAGTAAACATTATTGAAAGTAACATTGTAAATTGTGAAATGATCCCTGGTGGATGACATGAAGTCATTAATGAAAACTGGACATGGAAGTTTACTGCAGTGAAAATTAGTGAAAAATGAAATGGAAAGTATCTGTTGAAATATGAAAGAAATGAATTGAATCAGCAATGGGAAAATACGAAAAGTGAAAGTGAAAATGAATGAAAATAAATTGAAAAAGGAAGGAATGCATGAAAATTTGAATTTTAAAAAAAATTGAGAACAATAATGTAAATAATATAGATATTATGAAGAGTTGAATGAAGAAATTTGAAAGTGAAAATATAAAGATAGTGAAAAATGGAAAGTATCTGTTGAAATATGAATGAAATATAAATGAAGAGCACTAACAAAAGGAAATGTGAAAGTGAAAAATGAATGAAAATAAATTGAAAAAGGAGGAATGCATGGAAATTTGAATTTTCAAAATATTGAATCGGCTTCAAAGAAATGAAAAAGGAGAACAATAATATAGGAATTTATGAATGAAATTTGAAAGTGAAATGAGTTCATAACGAAATAAAAAATGAATGAATAATGTAATGGAAGATAATTTGGTGGTGCAAAGATCAGACATGTGAAAATATAAATGAAATAGATTTGAAACAATTGGCTTTTCTTGACTGTAGAAAGTCAATGATTGTTGATTGTCTGCTCCTCCCATTCATAGTTCTACCATGATGTGGAAGTGCAGACAATGCAGTTATTCTAATTGATTTTTTTTCTATTTCAGCTCAATTTTATATTGACCTTTGACTTGACCTTAATCAATCTGCAAGTCCTTACCAACCTGACCACCTCATTTGATGATCATAAGCCATGGCTTTTCCTAGTTGACCAATCAACTTTTTTAACTACTTGGCATAATTAACGTAAAGGCCCAATCTTTGACCAAAACTTTCTCTGGTTATTGGTCAGACATGGATATTGGATATTGAAGCTCTGATTATGGAATGGTGGGGGATGTGTAGCAAAACCAAAACGCGTGACTATCTAAACCATATCCTGTACAGTGACAGACTAACCATTCTTCAGAGCTTCAATCAAAGGTTAATAATTTGAAAAACTAACTAAACGCTATTTTCCGGTACTTTCTGTACATAGCTCTCGGGAATTCAATGAAATGTTGTATAATAATGTAACGATCTGTATGTTTTTTGCCTTTTCAGGATTATTTCATTCTTAGATCTTTTTATTACATGCTTTTCGGTGGTTTATAGAAATATATCAGTGATATAAAAACTGGTAATTTCACTGTTTGAAACAGTGAAATTACCACTTTGATAATTTCACCGTTTTGAATTTAAGCCCCTTATGTTGTTTCAGTGAAATACCAGCGTGCACAGTACTGGGTACCAACTTAAATGACGTAAATGACGTCACGTTGTATTATTATTTGGCGCGCTTTTCATTCAGTATTAGGTTTTATGTCTTTTTAAAACGTTTCTTTGCATGTAATAAAAAGAAAATTTGTTTATTTTAGTGTAAGATCGAAATATATTTCACCTCCGTGGTCGAGGGGTTAGAGTCGATGACTTCTAATCCAGTTACCTCTCTGGCGTGGGTTCGATCCCCGGGAGATGCTTTGGTAGTTTAGCGCGGAGGAAGGTAGTCTAGTACTGGTGTAACTCTCCAGGAACGATGGTTAGGAAACTACCCGCCTATATGACTGAAATACTGTTGGGAAAAGGCGTATAATGAAACAAACAAACAAACCTTGTGAACACCAAAAATTCATATTTCACTCGTGGCTGCGCCACTCGTGAAATATACCTTTTGGTGCTCACTCGGTGAAATATATTCCGATCTTACACCGAACTAAACATATATCCTCTATTTATTAATAATTCCATGAAAGAAAATGTGATTTTCTCAAATAGTGATTTTATAGCTAAACAAAATCACTGTTTGGAGTTCGGATGTGATGAATTATGTCACAAGGTCATAGCCCGAGTGACATAATGATGCACATCTTAATCAAGTGATAAAATCACTGATTTGGATAATTATTTTATCAAGCGATAAAATCACTGATTTGGATATCTGATTTCCATTTTAACACATCAACAAATAAATGTGTAAAATTTGCGATAGATAAACGGTGAAATCTTTTGGTATGAAAACTATCATATTTCACTCGTAGCTACCACCACTCGTGAAATTTTTCATTTTCATACCACTCCATGAAAATAAATCATGTATTTATAGAAAAAAACTTGAATATCGTCTATATACTTCATTAGGTGTAATTCCCAAGATCTTCATATGTAAAGTACTGGAAAATGATGTGCAGCTAGGTTTTCGAAAAGGTCAATCGCTACACTTCTCCCAATGCTGCCTAGTTGTAAAACAGCACACTTCCAGATTCATATTTAAATAAAATTAATTATATGTTGCATAATTAAGTTAAATATTCAGATTTGAAGTTCAGAAAACTTTTTAAAATTTACAAAGCCATAAGTAAGACTTTTATTTATTTCCTATTATGTGTACCTGCGTAATATAACAATATTTTTTAAATATTTGTTATAAGTTAATTTGAATTGAATGGAAGAAGTATGCATATCTTTTTTTTTACTTTTCCTAAATTTGGATTGATTTTTGAAGAAATTTAAATATCTGGATGTGTGCAGTTTTAACTTCTAGCATGTCCCAAGCCATGGTAAAAGCAGAGGGGGAGAAATGAATCTTTATTTGTATTATCAATGTTATTTTACATATCACTAAAAAATTTTACATTTTTGATTGCATTGTTCGCCATTTTCTTGATGTCTGAAGTGATAGAGAATAATTAATAGGTTGGTGCCTTGGATCTAGCGAGGCAAAGGAATTTTTTTGGTGAGCCTTTGGCCAGATAGTTTAAGTTCTCCATCCATAGCACCAATCATTCTATTTATCCTGTTATCGATTTTTTTATAAAAGAGTTAAATTGTAATATGTTTTTGAAAGTTTTGGCCTGTGCGCAGTAAAAAAGTAGTTCTTATTATTCTGAAATATTTAACAAGCAAAAATGTCAAACCAGTCTTTTTTAGTGATTTTTATAGTACACGAATGTGCAGTGCACGTAGATACTGGATATTTAAACTGTGGAGCATTTCTATTGATTTATCTTGAATGTTCAAACGAAGATATACTCTACTGAATACCTGTAATTACGCACAAAGGTTTTTACATGTATTGTCACGATATATATATTTTTCTAACTGTTCAAGTCATTTTTACTTGTTTTGCCGCGTAACGTCATGCGTTCTTTTTCATGACGTCATCATATGATGTCACAGTACCAATGTTGAAATTTAGTTCCGTAAAATTTCTCGAATTTGTTACATTTTAACACAATGTATGCAGTTATTTACTTGCTTCTCCTATAGAAGCAAAATTTACGTACATGACATAATTCCTATTATTCCTGTTGGTAATTCAATTTAGTGTTGTTTTTTTTTTCATTCATCATAACAGCACATGCCTTAGATTGCTAAAATAAGAACCATAAGGAATAGAAAATTGTCAATATTTTACAAAATCTTTCAGAAATATGTAATCCGGATGATAAAAAAAACATTTTAAGTGTGCTTTTTAAAAAAATTCTTATGTGCTAAATAGTTGAAATGATTCTGAGAAATCCTTTATAAAAGTAAAGAATTTTTAGGATAAATTGTGAATTTTTGCCTTTTTTTTTTAAATAGACCTATATTTGACCCTTACCTATATTTGGCTATTTAAAAACTATATATAGATGCAAAAAAAAGTAGGAAGAATGTTAATCTTTTAAATAACAAGCCATGGTTAGTAAGTTTTAAGCTCTTGTAGTTTAATTTTAAAAATGCCTCTTTTATTGTATCACATACATAAGAGGAGTTCTGAGTTCAAATCTCAGTGGGAGCACTTATTTGCTGATTCATGGTTTGTAAAATTAAAACAGGGCTGTGAATTTTATGTCTATATTAAAGTTATTGTTTTTATAAGTCATTGTTTTTATAAATCATTGTTTTTATTTGACATTTATTAAATCAAGGTTTTTGAAACTTGATAAGAAATTTGACAGTATGATTTTAAAAACTATATAATTTTAAAATTGTGCAACTATATTTTTAGCTGTACCTCAAATCATAATTCTCTGACCAAAGAGTATACAGTTGTTGATCCAGATGGTGTTCAATAGTGCCTTAGCATTACCGGCACCCAGAATGCCCTTTTCATAGAGAATGTTAATTTCCAGGTCAAGATATTGGGCAGTAGACTTCATTGGCTTATCTCCTTTTCCTAGCCTTTTAAGTGATTTTTGTTGCAACTCAGCTTATAAATGATTATTCTAGAAAATGTTTAGTGAAAACATGGTCTGTGATGTTGCACATAACTTATTGGTTCTGAATCTGAACAACATCAAATGGTTCTAATTCAAAAATTAGTACCAGTCTTGATATGTCAATCTTCAGCACAGTGTTTGTTTCAATGACGTCAACCCACCGACCCTTTGAAAAAGAATTTTAAATGCTCTTAAATAGATTTTACACTTGATTTATGTTTTAAATACTGTCATATATAATTGCATAAAAAACTGCACATGCAGCTATACTTAAACGGAAGATCTTATAAAACCATGCTATTGTAATATGTATTTATATGTGGGTGACTTAAAAGTAAAAATAGCTGACTGTAATGATGGCTCAAGAACTTTCATTATCTCATAACTGTTAAATGACATCTCTTTTACACTTTGTTCTCAACAACAACTAATTCATTTCTGCAAAGAGCTTACTGGCCGTATTTCATTCTATATATAACAATGTTAACATAGTATCCAAAAATATAAATTATTTTACAAAAATAAAATTGTTTTCTTAACCTTTAATTGTATTTGAATAAAATGAAACATACGTGACATGGTATAAGGGGATAAATATAGAACTGCTTAGCAATAAATTTTCTATTTATATGCAGCCAATATGTTACATTAATAGATCTGAAATCTACGTTACCGAAGAAATACAGTGTCATTACTAAAATAAATGCCATCCTGTTATAATATAGTTTCTTGTTGAAAATATTTCTGGCAAACTTGCATATGGAACAGAATTAATGCATTTATGCTATCTTGCTTGATGACATTGGAACTTGCATTATGCTTGATTCCATCTTGCCTGATGACATTGGAACTTGCATTATACTTGATTTCATATTTGAACTTTGCATTAGGCTGCATTCTTTTTTTTCATTATTTCATTCAAACTTTCGTAGTGACTTATTCTGTCATTGAGTGATAACAATTAAACTTGCACAAGCCATTTATCGTACTGTTTTGGAACATTAAAATGTTAACGTCATATTCCTTTATGTATACGCTACATTTCTTCATGCTCTATACAAACTAGTTACGGTTTAGTTCTTTTTTGTATTACTTTTATGTAGAAGTCATTTAAAATCGACTATTTTTATTCCTAACTTCCTTTTGTACATGTGTGACTTATATGATTTATCTCTCACATGGCGTGATTACTATTAGCTTTCGCTTATAATATCCATTATTCAGTGTTTATGCTGTCTGATGCTTTGTGGATTATGTTTGATCATCTTACAATATATATAAACAATTTATACAATGTCTAGCGACTGTGAACTGTTAAGGGGCGAGAACTCTCTTATCAAGATCAAAGGAATTTTTCCACATTTCGCCTATCATCGGAATTTTTCGTTCATAACCTCCGGTGACCATAGAACGGTATTCTTTTGCATATATACATGTACATGTATAAATATGTACCAAGCACTAAATATATAAATTGGCCAGGAAAGAATATAAATATAAGTAAAAAAAGGTTATGCAATATAATTTTATATAATGTAAACAGTCAAATAGAAAAAAATAT